TGTTTTTATTGGCTGGTGTTAATGCTGGTTTAGGATCTAAAATAGGTAAATTTTGGCTTATTAAGGATGTACCCATACACTGTTTTATCAAGGAGATTTTAGTCAAAAATGGATTTTAAATCAATAAACATTCCTTTAAAATTGTTGCTGTATATCAGGCTGTGAGACTAAAACAAGGGATAAAATAAGAGACATACAGTATTAAAAAAAAATGCAAGTCCAAACAGACTTTGGTCCCCATCCACACAGCATATACTGGCTTGGTGGCCTCAGGCAGAGGTGATGTAATTATTGAGAACCTCAGTGTACTTATCTGGAGAATGGAACTAATGGAACTTCAAGGTGGTTATTGTTACATGATTCTGCGCTTAAAGGAGTATGCAGTCCAGTAAAGGGACGGTCAGAGGAGGGGAGAGGAGGAAGAGTGAGCCGTGGTGGTCAGAGGCACTGTTATTTTTAGCTTGAAGAGAGACCCAGCAAGCCTTACAGCGGAGACAGCTAGTGTTCAGACTGAGGAGGGGAGGAACACCGTGTCTGTGAAACTGATGCACTGCGAACACTAGTTTGCTCAGAATAATAAACGAGAGGTCTGGGCCCGTGACAGACACTAGAGCGGCAGATTGTGGAGTGCAGCAAGACTTTAGTCTGTGCTGCCCTGAAGATTTTGGACCAAGTGACTCAGGTTTGGAAGAGCATTCAAACGTCGCTTGCTGGTGGTGAGAGTGTATTTTTACTAAGTCAGTTTAGAAAGAAGATGCCTTAAGCTGTTGCATTTCAGGGAGGCAGCAGGAAGAGATAGGTTGGGACTGAGGAAGAGGTGACAGAATTAAAGCCAGAACTAGAGGCTCAGACCATTCAGAAAGAAGGAGTAAGGAGTAATTCCCAGCCGTGGTAGAATGAAGGGATTTTTGGATGTATTCATCAAGGTACGACTGCAAGGTGGAAGAAAATAGACGTGGCAGATAATTTCCAGTGGCCAGTTTTAATTTCTTGAGTGTTCAGAGAAAAAAAGTGTAAAAATTAGGGCTAAATTATTCAGTTTTTCTATTGAAAATGAATTTGTATAGTCCCATACGTTCTTTGATGCACAAAAGCCAAGAAGTTCATCTCGAGAGTAGAGTAGTAGTTACTGCTAGACGCTGGAAAGGGTAGCGGG